GCAAAAGAGCGACCAGTGGGAAGAATGAGTCTGGAGCCCTGATATGCATTATACAGAGGCAAGAGGAAAAGAAAAAATACCATCGAAAGACAGTAGGTTCCCCTCAGACATACATTCATATAAACTCCTACCCCTAATTGAATCGCGATTTGTTTAGCATCTCAACCGATTAGAATCGTCACATATTTAAATCGATTTTCAACCGGCTTGCGGTTAATCGTTACATCCCTACCAAGAACTAAAGACATTCAGAGAAGGTCCCATCACCACCATGCTTCTGAATAACGCCTTGATTTCCAGGTTGGTTCATTGAAACCATTCCTAAAATGAATGTACTGTTTCTTTAAATGAAAAGAACTGAAAATAAAACTTTTTTTTTTTTTTTTGATGTAGTTCTTTTTCAAAAAAAAGTCATCCTTTCAAAGGCTGCATTTATTTGATAAAAGTAAAATAACAGTAATATTGTATATATATATATATATATATATATATAAAGCAGTTTTCCTGGCCCAGGACAAACCCTGTTTGCTTACCAAATGGAGGAGGTTTCCTTCTAGCCAGTGTGTCCAGCCTCTGCCCTCTTTCTCTCCTCGCTGCACGCAGATCAATTTATCACCGTCCCAATTCACTGTGGTCTGAAACATATGGAGAACATTATCCATTAGTGCCACACATACCACACTTTCCACACTCCTTTGTCTGGCTGATGTTACTTTTAAAGGGGCCTGTGTGTTTCTCACAAATACATTACAAATGGGTAAACTAGGGAAAAAAAAATATATAAAAACACACACACACACCTGGCACTTTCGCCCATCGACTGGTCCCAGGTCCTCAGTGAACTCCTGTCCCAAAGTGAAGTCCATGTCAAAGTTCCTAAAGGTGGTGACTGTCTTAATCTTCTCTTTTTCAAAAAAAAGTCATCCTTTCAAAGGCTGCATTTATTTGATAAAAGTAAAATAACAGTAATATTGTAAAATATTATTACAATTTAAAATAACAGTTTTCTATTTTAATATACTTTAAAATTTAATTTATTCATGTAAAGCAAAGCTGAATTTTCAGTGTCACATGATACTTCAGAAATTCTAAATTAGCATTCTAATATGCTAATTTATCATCAATGTTGGAAACTGAACTCCTGTCCCAAAGTGAAGTCCATGTCAAAGTTCTTAAAGGTGGTGACTGTCTTAATCTTCATTTTTCCAGTGTTCACATCGTGTTCAATATGTTTGCTGGGTTTCAGAATGCAGACGACTTTCCTTAATGCATAATTAACATCTGATGAGGAGAGAAAGAGAGATTAAACGATTAGCATACTTAAGAAAATTCTGTCATTATTTACTTAACCTCACGTTGTTCCAAACGTTTTTTTTTTTGTTTTTTTTCTACAGTGAAGAAATACTTTTCAGTACAATGAAATCAATCTGAATCAGTTGAGCAAGTTCACATATCCAGTCTAAATGATTTGTTCTGAAATAAGAATGATCTCGAGTTCAACTCAACAAAATCATTCTAATATGCTGATTTGGTGCTTTAGATACCTTTCTTTTATCAATGTTGCCCACAAAAGCCCCATCTCTCATTGAATCACCTACATTTGTATAAATGTCACTCAATTTTAGTACTCCCCTTATATTTTATGTTGCTGAAAAAACTTCATATAGTTTTATCAAAAACTTTTAGTCCAGTTTTACATTTGTTACTTTATATAATTGTCCTCCAGACACCGAATAATATATATATATATATATATACCAAACGTTTTTTTTTTTGTTTTTTTTCTACAGTGAAGAAATACTTTTCAGTACAATGAAATCAATCTGAATCAGTTGAGCAAGTTCACATATCCAGTCTAAATGATTTGTTCTGAAATAAGAATGATCTCGAGTTCAACTCACTGATTCAATGATCTGGTCACACTCACAGTGGTAAAAGATTATCAGTGAAAAGCAGCTTGCATTTCAGTTTGTTCATCACTCAGAGCTACTGTATGAATTCAGGAGATTTGGAATATAATGCATTAATTGTGTGAATCGCTTTTATGATACTTTCATGCTGATTTTAAGTTTGAATGCTCCATTATTCCAAATGCATGAAAAAGAGTGACAAACAAGTTACTGAAAATAAATTTTCAATAACTTTTTTCACAAAAGAAAGTCAGTCAAAGGCTACATACAAGTTTGGAACAACATCATTTTTATTTTTAGGTGAACTAACCCTTTAACACCATGTATAACGTGATAAGACAAGCATTACAAGGTCTTATCCAATGAATATGGATATGATAAAGGGTTCAGGGACAAATTCAGACATGTCTTCACTTTTCCAATTGTATTCTTCACAAACTAAATTGCTATGATCTCGTTTAGGCTTTCTTCCCCACGGCAAGAAGATGATTGGACTGTATTTCATTACATTCACCCAGATTAAAAGAGGTACATCATCCTCATGTTCACAGATGTTTGAAGACAGATGGAAGAGGAACATCACAGTCAACACAAGCATCAAGTTACAATCAAAGTGAGTCACTGTGGTTCGTTTTGAATAGACTCTTTATATAGCCTACTACAGCAGTTCACTGATTATAAGCTCTTATACTGCTGAACTGAGAAAAAAAAAAACAACAACATAAAATATATTGTTGCTCACCCAAAGCCGCGAGATATTCTTCAAAATTTTCCTGGGAAACCATGTGGTAAATGCCAGTATAATTAGGTTTGGACATTTTCTGTTTTTTTTTTTTTTACACGAATCCAACCAAACCTTGTGTGATCTGTAGCTCTGTGGGCTCACTTTTCCCTCTGGTTATCTGTCTGGATCTCTATCCGTGTCTCTAGGCAGCACCTATTGCATTGTTCGCTAGTTAATTTGGTTAAATTATAGCGCGATTGACGCCGTTTCCTACTAACAGCACGCGTCGCGACGTGAAGACACCGAGCGGAATCTGTGGTCAGTGTTTCCGGGAATTTATTCCGTGATGTTGCGTTACACAATGCTCCAAGACCTAGCTCCGGTTCGTCATCTGTAAGTAAACCCAAAAGCGTCTGACTCCTCCCTAACCAGTTCAATTCCGAACAGAGCAAAGAGCCAAATCCTCCCTGATTTGGGGATCGCTTTGCAGGCAATAGGGGTGCTACAGGTAGGTTGAAGTTTTCCCTGAAGTTGTCAAATAGTCACTTTAATATATAAAAATACACACAAAAGAATTAGATATAGTGATTTTACCTCTTTAAAATATGCAGCTTACGCGTCATCTTATTAAATCTGCAATTATTGCACTTTTTATTTAATGAAATCGTAAGGAAAAAAATAAAGAAATAAAATATTTCCGTTACTTGAAATTAAATAAACGTTAGCTGAAATAAAAGACAACATTTCGCATATTAATTTACTTGATGTACTAAAGAAAACTAAAACGTATTTAAAAAACTGTCAAAAACTACATTAGCTACTTAAATTTTAACTAAAAATTGAAAAAGTAAAACTAATTAAAATAATAAAAGCTATAATTGTATCTCAGTGATCAATTTTTATATTATTATTAATAATAATAGTATTACATTTTTGTAACGATGTGAACCCATTGCATTTAGTATATAAGCAAAATCGCAGTTGAAAGATGCTAGCTATACTTACTAAAGGTGAGAATGTGATTTTAAATCCTAAAAAAAAAAAGTTGATCAATAATAGGATGAATAATAATTCATCTAATTTTCTGAGTTTGATAGAAGTCGGGTATCACTGAAAACAAAACATTTTTAAACCCAATCATAATATTCATAATTTAGGTCTGTACCTCAAAATCAAACCATGCTCTCTCACACATTTTTTCTCTGACACACTTTGTTCTGTTGCTCATGTGGCGCTCTGTAAAGTTTATTCATTTCTCCTAATGTTTTTTCCCGCTGTGCGTCTGTGTTAAACAAGGTCAGGCCTGTATGGGGTTCACTGATCAAGGGCCACATTTGACCCTACTCTAAAAAATGCTGGGTTGTTTCAACCCAACTTTGGGTCAAATATGGACTAACTCAACCGTTGGGTTAAATTTTTTAATTAAATTTTTAACCCAAAAGTTGGGTTAGTCCATTTTTGACCCAAGGTTGGGTTGAAATAACCCACCATTTTTTAGAGTGGGATGTCTACAGCTCTCTGATGTAAAGAATATGAATGAGACAGGTCCCTCTCTCTGGCATCAGGCCAGAGTTTGTGCTTATCATCTCTCCAGGACATCAACCTTTCCATTCGGCCGTACCGTTACAATAACATCCCGGAAATTTAAACATTCTATGCAAACACGCCTTCATTTTATTACAGCAGATAAACAATGGCCAGGCATAACAGTCTTTGGACTAGAATTTTATTAAAACTGAGAACGAGTGGATGATTTATATCAATTACAATTCAGTGAATTTACTTAAAAATTTTTTTACTAAATATTAAAAAATTAACAAATGCACATAGAAAAAAAACATAGCAAGATTTGTTTGATAAGATCAAATAGTTTTCTTTAAAACCGCTGAAAATGTATTTTAAAATAAGCTGTACAATCATGAAGCAAAATTAAATTTCATCTTCTTTCTTTTTTCTTTTTTTTATCGTTTCCTGACAGATCCACTCTTCTTATCCTCCGATTGCTGCTTTTTGACATCTTTCTTTCCTTTTGCTCCCAGATTCTCATAAACGTCTTCATTTTTTCTGAAAAAAGGGAAAAAGAAAAGAAATCAGTATAACTGAGTGATTAGTCACTAACTTACAGTAGTCATCATAACCCATCCCAACTTCTAGAGGAACAAAGGAGTGAATGAGTTTTCAATGTTTCAAAGTTTTAATGTTTTTGTCAGCAGCTTGAGCTATTAACTGACCCAAACCACAAAAACGTGAGAAAGAGGCTTGCCAAACATTGTCCAGTAAGCCAATGATTAGTTCAACTCTGTGATTAGAGCAAGATCAAACTGAAACAATACCAGATCTGAGATATCCAATATCCAACTCAATCCTTCCCTTTCTCTTTCAATGGGATATTGCACAACTAAGGCTTCTAAAAAGCTTGTGTAAGCAGATGGCTGTGTGACTGAGAGATCTTTGAACGGCCTACTTAACAGGTCATCGGTTTGGGAAAGATAAGGGGATGTGAGAGGAATGTTTCTGGATGATTGTGGGAGTATTTGAGGATACACTACAAGCAGAAGTCTACTTACTTCGCAGAGGCTTTGCGACTGGCCTTCTGGTGTTTAGGCTGAATTGAGAGGTTTCCATATTCGGTTTCTGTTTCCTGTAACAGAAAGTAAAAAAAAAAAAAATCAATAGCAATACTAAGTACAACAGAGGGGAGACACAGGATATCAGTCTTATCTTCCCTTTTTACAGTGTTGACTTTGATAAGATATTGCATGGGAACCGTTCTGAAGGCAAATGGATATACTATCTTTCAATAGTTTGGGGTCATATGCTCACCAAGGCTGCATTTATTTGACCAAAAAATACAGTAAAAACAGTAATATCATGAAATATTATTACAATTTGTAGTAACTGCAGGCTTCAGTGTCACATGATCCTTCATAAATCATTCTAACATGCTGATTTGCTGCTTAAGATACATTTCTTATCAATATTGAAATCAGCTGAGCTGCTTATTATTTTTGTGGAAACTGTGATACACTTTTCTTCCAGGATCCTTTGATTAATAGACAATTTAAAAGAACAGAATTTCATTGAAATAGAAAGCTTTTGTAACATTATAAATGTATCTACATTCACTTTTTATTTAATGCTTCTTTGCTGGAAAAAAGTATTAATTCCTTTAAAAAAATCTTACTGACCTCAAACCAAATATTGGCTTAATTTCCATTTATTCATTTTATTGCATTTCAGAAACCTCTCACCATGATCCTCAGCCATTTTCTTACCATGACAGCCCTTCGTGTGAGTTTAGTCGACTCTATATACTGTAGCACAGCCAAGTAGATGAACTTGTACTGTGCTTCGGTTTGCACCATGCCAGACCGCTGTTCTCTAACCATCTGAATACACTTCTGGATGTCGATGTCACTGTCCAGACCTGACAAAAACAACATCTTTAGATTAATTTGCAAAAACTGCTAGCATGTTTGATCCAGGATCTAGGCTGAAGTACCACCCTGAGGTGTTCATGTGAAATGTGGTTGCAACATCTAAGAATAAGCCTATTATAAGATTATAAGACTAACTGTATTGATTTGTGTAAAATATCTGGACTATTTGGAAGGGAAGCATATTAGCTAAACATAATGTAGGTTCCAGAAAGCCTGAGGACATTCACAGGTTATAATGATTTAATCAATCTGATTGCACTGCATTAACCCTCAGTTGCAATAGTTTTGCCATGGTAACGTTCATTAATGTTTTGATATAAAGATGAATACTGAAACAGTACTGACCTTTCTAGAATGTTTTTAAGCTTAAATAAAATTGTAAACTTCTCATTAAGAGCTGGACTTAATTAAAAACTAGGATTCACAGGATTCCAGAGGTTTGAGTAAAATCAACCTAAATACACTAATTTCTCTACTGAGTTGAGAATTTATATGTTTACGCATTTAGCAGACACTTTTATCGCATTCAAGGTATTCATTTAATGAGTTCATCAGTTCTCAGGGAATCGAGCCTATGACCTTTCACGTGATGTTGCCATAGACTGGTACCATGAAGGTATTACCGGGACAATCCCTAAGGATTTAAGTGCTTTTCTGAAGGGTACAATGGCTACAAAGGGTACAATATTTTGCCTCAGCGGGGAACTGAACCAGCAACCTTCCGGATACCAGGATGCTGACTTTTTAAAGTCTCACAGAAAGCAGTTTTTTTTTTCATAGTGTGTCCACACAAACGTGGTTATTTTTAAAACCGCAGCTTTTTCTACACGGTTAGGCCGTTCGTCCACACGCAAACGCAGCACCAGTTCACTGAAACTGAAAATTTTTGAAAACGCCTGCCAGGGTGAAGATTTTCAAAAAATCTGGTTGCAGTGTTATCGTGTAGACAGCGAAACCGTTGTTTTTGGCTTGTGATGTCGGCACCTGCGCTGTTATCTCCGCCTACTGGAGACTTTTTCAGGCTTCTGATTGGCCGGCATGGCTTTACGGTTGAGATTATATCGCCATCTGTTGGTTTGGCATGCTCTTGACAGTGCTTCATAGCATGGGTTTGTGTTTTCATGTGGACGGAGAGTTTTTTTTAAACGGAAAAAGGAAAAACTCAGTTTATAAAAATACCCGTGTACGTGTGGACATGGCCTACGAAAACATCAAAAACCTTAATGCAGAGTGATATAAACTCACCTTTAGCATCAATGGTATCTATAAGCATGTCGATCACCACAATGGTTCCTGTTCGTCCGATACCAGCACTGCCAAAACACATTAAGCAACAAATAACTGAAGCTATCTCTTCAAGCTTGCAGAGGTCTTGAGACACTGAATATCCCATAGCACATTAATACTAAAGAGTAAACAAACTATTAATTTAAAGATTTAGAGTGGGAAGTATGGGATCATGAAAAGTTCAAGCATGTACTGTGATTACGAAATGCTGAGTCGTGTGACAACTGCTTAAACCTCCCTGCCTAAGACTGTCAGCGTGTATTACATTTCTTGCCAAGACATGAAATGTACTACACTGTTGTTCTCATTGTTAATAATAAAATAAAAACTGCATATGTTAAATGATCTTTACTTTTTAGAACAATTTGGAGTAACCAGTTGACTACAAAAAGAGGAATTATGGCTTTTCCCAAAGATGTAAAATGGAAGATAAGCAGCATTTAAACCGGCATCAGTGTTCAATGCTGCCCATAAAATGTCAAGAATATTCAGATGTATATTTTATGGACATCTGAAATAGCATGAAATAGCATGTCTTATGCTCATGATGCCCCCAAGCGGGGGATGAAGTTATAAGAGGCTTTTTTGTGAGTAAGTACCTGCAGTGGATGATCATGGGTCCAGTTGAAGACAGTTCGTGCTGTTTGATGTTGACCT